AGCTTTTCAGCTTTTCTTCTCTAAACTTTATGTAATTCCAGATAAATTGTCCTACTGGTTGGAGTCTCAGTGGTTTATAAGAACCAGTGGTTTTGGAGGATGGCAGGGTCCCTGTTCACTTTTACACATCACTGTTGCAAAGCCAACTTTCTTCCTGCATGCCTCTTCCCCTGCCCTGCTTCGTTAGTCGCTTTGCATATGATCATTGCAATTTAATAACATTGAATGATACTTCACTGCCGATTTTATTGCCAACTACCCTTGGAACGTAAGCCTAGATGCAAGTAGTAAGGAGAGGGCAGCCAAGGCCTCTAGATTGCCAGTTACTTGGCTGGGAATCCCATTCATATTGGGAAACAGATTTTTAAAATAAATTTGGCACTGGAAGCACTGCCATCCTTTTGTGAAGCTATGTCAATAATCATAAAGTTTCACAATCATGCCCCCAACCCTCAGCCAAGCTAACAAATATTTAGGCATCAGCATATCTTCATGATGCCACCTTCTGTTGATTGCACGGGCTTCTCATGCTGTTTGGGTTGGCAGTGGAACACAATCTTCTGTTTTATGTAATGAGGAACATCAGAAAAGTCCTTTGTGCTTACCCTATCAGAGTGTGTGCAAGACCTCTTGTGTACCCCATCATTTTCGCTGCAGTCAAAGCTAGCGCACGTTTCTGTGGCCTGGTAAATCTTTTCTAGCTATTGGCAAGGTTGTTTTCTTTTTTTTCCCAGTGCCATCTTGCTCCAGGCCAGGATTATAATGACCCAGCTTTGCTTTGGTTTAAGATGAATTTTGCAAATATATGTGTGTGTTGGGACTACACTATTTTCCGAGAACACAGACATGGGTGTAACAGGGTCTGATGCAATATAGTGCCCAATCAGGCTGACGAGGCTTACCCTTTGCAGACTGTGCCAATAAGCAGTCAAGGCTTGTTGTGATCTGCAGAAATATACAGAATTCTCTCATTCTGAGAAGGCTTGTTGCTAGCATGTGACATCATAGAAAGCCCCCCTTTTTTTGCTTTGTTTTGGAATATCAAAGAAAAAGGCTGTTGAACGTAGTTGGCCACTTAGCTTTGTTATTCATAGTGCTCCCTCCCATTTTTTTTAAACAGTGTTCAATGTTAGCGTCAGGTGTTGGCTGCCTTCCTGGGGGAACAGATTGCTGTGATGTAAACACAGCTGGAAACTGACCACATATTGTTTTTCTTTCTTTTAAGAAATGAAAGAGGCATTTATAGAAAGGCTGCAGAACACGGTCCTGTCCAGAATTACTTTATATATTTATTCCTCAAGTTGGGTTAATGATTAATGTCACGCCTGAGTGTCCACATAGACCCATGTCCCTTCCCCCTTCCCGAAGCTGCAATTTCCTGGGAACAATGAACTTGCAGAGCTTTGCTGCCATCCGAACATGAGAAGGGGTGGAGTCTGTTCAGTTCTGTTTTCTTCATGCTGAAGTGTGGTCTTTGGAGCTAAGTGAAGAATGACTTCTGTGGGGTTTTCCTCTGCTGGCCTTCCTTGCAGCCTTGGAAACCTCATCAAAGTCGCCTCTGCTGAACTCTCATTGTGCAGCTCTGTTACAGATGGGCAAGTAAGTGAATTACAGAATGTTGCTCTGTGTGCTTGTGATTTTTATTTTATTTGATCTACTTTTTAACATGAAGGCAGAGTATTTTCTAACACTGTAATTCAACTAGGTTTTGTGTCTTCTGGATCTGTTTTTTTTTTTTTTTTTTCTCATTGTTCTAAGGAGTTGGTATATTTGGAAATACTAGGTTTAAGATATACAGATGTCCAACTTATATAAGTCAAGGGTTTAGATTCTGGAGACACGAGGCTGGTAATTTCAACTAGGAGGCAGTAAATTCAGGGTAAGAGTAATGTTGATTTGGGGGTTAAGGGGGGTGGCTGGGTGTAGAAGTAATCTGGGAAGAGAATCAAGGGCCTTCTCCCACTTGGAAGACTATTCTTATTTTGATCTTTTATTCCTTTGGTCTCTGTGCCAAAAACTTTCACTCTTTTTTACTATTTCTGTGTATAGATGTTTGGATGATTTAAGTTATGGTGTAATAGTTAATTGCTGTTAATAATTGCTACTAATTAATTGCTGTATTAAGGTTTTTCAAAGGGGTTTTCTCAACAAATAGCTATTTCTCTTTACATCTATCTTATAAGAATTGAGTTAAAAATGAGGAAGAGAAAGTTGTAGGAATTTAAGAGTAACTTCTGCTTTTGGTTTGCTTAAATGGCAACTGGAGACCCATTTTCATAGGCAAAATATATGTTACTTTAGTTTTTGTTTTCTTTGAGAGAACTGTAGGGTTACCTTGTTGGGATTACCTGAATTATTTGTCATCTGTACTGGAATCTGCATGTAGTTATCTTTACAGTTATCTAAGCAAGTTGAATCTGTCATTCATTCCTCACTGAAGAATCTCACTGAAAATAACATTCCCTGTCTATTTGGCTGATGCCCATGGATGGGAATTGTTGGAATTAGGCTATACATCTATTTGGATTCTCATAACTGGGTCCAGCACCTAGCATAGCTCCTGGTACATAGGGAAGCTCTATGTAATGTCAATAACTGGCTAATTTAGTAAGATTCCTAAGAGCTGTTTGAGTTCCAAGAGCAGGAAAGTGAATGGTGAGTTTTGAACCTTATAAAATACATAGGTAAACCCAAACGAGGAGAGAATTGAGAAAGTCTGTTACTCTGAAGGTGGTCCTAAAAGGCTTTCTCTAGGCTGATTACTGCCAAGCATATTTTTTTCCTGGCTTTATACAGCTTGGCAGAATTGATCTCATTTTGGATTCTGAAGGAAGAGAAAGAAAAAAATTTCATTATACATTATATTGGGCTGTGATAATGTGGCCAATTCTCTTCATGAATTTTTCAAATGACTTTTAAAGAAATGGCAATAGTACTGATTGTTTCCCTCTATGAGTCTAATTAACAGCTACTTAAGGTATCTTAATGTTCTTTTATATATATTATCTGCTTTGATTCTCAAATCAGTCCAGGGAGGTGGGTATTGATGTTACTTCCTGATTTTACAATTGAGAAAAGCAAGAGAGTCAGATGAAAAGTGATCCCAGAAGTTGCTCGGTGCGTGGAAGAATGTCAGCTGGGTATTTTAAAACTCAAATCCCATGTTCCTCTCAACTGCCCCCTTTCCGGTCATCTCTAAAGGTCTTCTATTGCAGGATAGCAGGAAGAACTCGCACCTGGGTGTCAGGAGACCTGGATTCTGATTCTGAGTGGGTCCTTGTTGACCTCTGTGATGTGAAGCAAGTCACTCACATCTTTGGATGTCACTTTTCTGCAAGGAGGTTACTTTGGTTGATTTCTTTTCTTTCTTTGTGTTGTTTTTTTTTTTTTTTGGAGACAGAGTACACCCAGGCTGGAGTACAATGGCACGATCTCGGCTCACTGCAACCTCTGCCTCCCGGGTTCAAGTGATTCTCCTGCCTCCACCTCCTGAGTAGCTGGAATTACAGGTGCCTGCCACCACACATGGCTAATTTTTGTATTTTTAGTAGAAATGGGGTTTCACTATGTTGGCCAGGCTGGTCTCGAACTCCTGACCTCATGATCTACCCACCTTGACCTCTCAAAGTGTTAGGATTACCGGTGTGAGCCACTGTGCCCAGCCACTTTATTTGATTTCCTAAGTTTCTTTGCAGTTTCAGGATCTATCCAGGGTCGTATCCAGGTCTTGTATTATCTCTGAGTGGTCATCTGCAATGTGGAGAAGAGGTGGGAAAGGAGGTAGCATTCTTTCCAACCATCCTATCCAGCTCTCCCTTGGTTTCCCCTGCCAAGTGCAAAGAGACACAGGATCTCCATGGACGAGGAAAACCTCAGGCCCTTGTTTGCTCTGATCTGCTTCCTGAGCTGGCATTTCTCAGGCTGTTCTTTTTTACTCATCAACAAAAGTATTCAAGCCAAATTCTCTTGTAATTTCAGCACAGGTATGAACAACATCAAGTTACCTTTCCATCAGGCCCAAGAAGTCCTAACCTTCTTGCATAAGCCTATCTGCTATCCTAATCCTTTTTGGAACATGGCAAATGTAAATAAGTATTGCTCTATCCCTCTCAGGTTTTTCAAATTACAGCAGGTGGTTGAGAAAAGGGGAGGGCAGAACAGTGGAGAAGTATTTTTTATTCTGCTTCCATTGCTAACTCTCATAGTTGTTAACAGATCAATTTAGAAAATAGTGGGATACTGAGATAAGGGTGACTACCCCTTACTGACACTAAAAAAAAAAAAAAAAAAAGCTGTGACCAAGTGTCTGCCATCACCATTATAGTGTAAAAAAAAAAAAAAAAAGGCCAGGCATGGTGGCTTATAGGCTGGGTGTAGTGGCTCATGCCTGTAATCCCAGCACTTTTGGAGGCCAAGGTTGGCAGATGACCTGAGGTCAGGAGTTCGAGACCAGCCTGCCCAACATGGTGAAACCTTGTCTCTACTAAAAATACAAAAATTAGCTGGGCATGGTGGCACACATCTATAATCCCAGTTACTTGGGAGGCTGAGGCAGGAGAATCGCTTGAATCTAGGAGGCAGAAGTTGCAGTGAGTCGAGATTGCACTACTGCACTCCAGCCTGGGTGACAGAGTAAGATTCTGTCTCAAAAAAAAAAAATTCAAAAGAAAAGAAAAAAGAGATTTTGAAATGACAAACTCTCAGTGGAGAGAAAGGGTAGAATTTCCTAGGAAAAGAGAGTTGGCATTCTTATCCTGATGTTTGCACTCTGCACTTGTGAAAAACCTCATTCATGATCACAGTCTGTATTTGGGAAGCTCCGTTCTACCTGGTACTTGGGTTCTCAACACTCACAGACTTTCTGGGTAGCAACTGGTGCTTTGAATGGAGACATGAGAGCTGCATGCGCAGGTCAGCTCTTTTCCTTTGCTGCAGTTTCTGTCTCTGCTCTCTTGCTATGATATAGTCCTTACCTTTTTTTCTTATGTCTTTCCCCACAGGTAAGAAGCGAAACCCTGGCCTTAAAATTCCAAAAGAAGCATTTGAGCAACCTCAGACCAGTTCCACGTAAGTTGGCAAGATCATCATCTTATTCCAAATCCTTATACTTACAGGTTTCCCCTGGGGATTCAGTTTTGGACTGGTAAGCAGTGCCTTTACTTTAAAAGAGGCCTTTGAGAGGCAAGCCATTTACTCAATGTTCTGAGACCGGAAATAATCATGCCTCATCAGTAGGTATATTTTGAGTGGGTGGTTTTGAACTCAGTATCTTAAGTTATTGGTTGAGTCAGAATTGAATGTCAGATATATTTGGTGGATGGGGTTCTATGTAAGGCCAGAAAGGCCCCTGGATGTGGACTTCCTTGCCTTTTCCCCGTAGATTGGAGCAAACAAGCAAATCCCTGTGAAAGCCACTACTATTAAACTTGGGTTGAGATGGAAAGATGGTATTTGGTGAGGACCCACATCCTGACACTTAGATCCTGTCTTATATAAACAGAAGGAAGAATGAGGTAAAGGAACACTTTTTTATTAGCTGAGGTTTTGGCCCAAATCCCTAAGTCAGCTCAAGTCCTAGTGAGGGACATCTTGTGAAGGACATTCTCTCTGTGAACCTCCTTTTTGCTTTTTTTTTCTATCTCTTTGTGTAGTGGGGAAGGTACTTCCTGTCCAGCTGGAGGTACAACCATCTACTAAGGCATCTGCATGAAAGAAATGGAAATTCCGAGGAAACAAATCACAACAGAGGTGTTAGAGGGACAGGGCAAGGGCAAAGAGAGGGCATCCCTATGGAGAAGTGAGTTGTTAAGGCTTTTTTTCATGTCTACAAAAGTGCCTCCCTTTGTAGTGGGTTTTGATCTTAGCTGTGATCTACTATCAGAAAGTCTACCGCCTAATGTTGGAATGTGCTCTAAAATGGGATCATGTCTGTTGTAAGTCTTTGTTGAAGCCATTGGTCCTTGCATTGCCTGAAGTGGTATACAGAAATTTTCCACTGGAGAATTTTTAAGGACAATGTAGACTGGAGGGCTACTTTTCAGGGTTCTGGACTGTAGCTAAAGAGTCTAAACTCAAGACAGAATGTTCCTTTCATTAGAATCTGCAGAAGGAAGATCTTTCTTCCCATACTTGCTATCAAGATTGTTTTCCCCCCCTATACTCTTTTTTTTTTTCCTTTGGTCAATGAGCAATTGGTATTTTTTTTTATAACCTGTAGAACTATGAACTGTGTGATTGCTATTGTTTCTTCTCTGCCTGGTTTCTCAAGAGCTTAGAGTCTAATATGTGGCCTACTTTTACTACCTGAAAAGGAATTTATGGGATATACTTTTAAAACTGTTTATTTTGAAATAATTGTAGACTAACAGGAGGTTGCAAAGAAATGTACAGAGAAGTCCCCTAAATCCCTTTCCCCAGGCCATGCCAAACTACCCTCCATCCCAAGTTAACATCTTACACAACTACAGTACATTCAAGATCAAGAAAGTGGCAATAGTGGGAATCCTAGAACCTAGTCCATTTTGCCAGCTATGCAAGCATTCACTTGTGTGTGTGTGTGTGTGTGTGTGCGCGCGCATGTGTATAGCTCTATAAAGTTTATGACGTGTCTTGCATAAGTTCTATTATAATCAAGATACTTCACTACAGCAACATTACAAGACTCTTTCATGTTATTCTCCCATAGTCATACCCACCTCTTCTCCCCATCCTCATCCTTAATCCCTGGCAACCATTAATCTCTTCTCCTTTGCCATTTTGTTATTTCATGATTGTGATATAAATGAAATAAAGCATGTTTTTTGAGTTTTGTTTTTGGTTCAACGTAATTTTATTGAGGTTCACTTAAGTAATTGCATGTATTAATAGTTTGTTCCATTTTTGCCAAGTACCCATCTATGGTATGGTTATACCAGTTTGTTCAACACTTCAGCCTTTGAAGGAGATATGGGCAGTTTTTCATTTTTGGCTATTCTGAATAAAGCTGTTATGATCATTCATGCATAAGTTCCTGCATGAGAATAAGTCTTCATTTCTCTGGGGTATATGCCCAATAGTACAATTACTGGGTTATATGGTAATCCTATCTTTAGTTTTGAAAGAACTACTGAACTATTGGCCAGAGTAATTGTGCCATTTTATGTTCTCATCAATAATGTCTGAATAATTTGGTTTTTCTGGATCTCTGCCAGCAATTGGTTTTATCAGTATTTTTCATTCAGATGTGTAGTGATATATATGTAGTTTTAATTTGCAATTTCTCTAGTGGCTAATGCGTATTTTTTGCCCATTGCCTAATTAGATTCTTTTTATTGTTTACTTTTGAGAGTTATTTATATGTTCTGGTTTCAAGGACTTTGTCAGATATGTGATGTGAAAATATTTTTCTCAGTTTGTAAGTTGTCTTTTTATTCGTTTAGCAGGGTCTTTCTCAGAGAAAAAGTTTTTAATTTTGGTGAAGCTTAATGTATCAGTTATTACTTTTACAGATCATGCTTTTGATAATAAGTCTAAGAACCCTTTGCCTAGTCCTAGATCTGTCTAGAAGTTTTGTAGTTTTGCATTTTACATTTAAGCCCCTGGTCCATTTTGAGTTAATTTTTGTTCAAGATATGAGTTTATTTCTTTGGCCAGTGGGTTACCAATTATTCTAGCACCATTTGTTGAAAAGGCTATCCCTCCTCCATTGAATTGCTTCTGCTCTTTGGCCAAATATCAATTGGGAATATTTGTTTGAATTTATTTCTGAATTCTCTATTCTGTTCCACTGATTTATGTGTCAGTCCCTCTGCCAATATCACGCTATCTTGATTACTACAGCTATATAGTAAGTCGTAACAGGGAAAAATGATTCCTCTCACTCTGCTCGCTTTCAGAATTATGTTGACTATTCTAAGACCTAATTTCATATACATTTTAGAATAAGCTTGTCTGTGTCCACAAAGAAACTACTGAGATTTTAGTAGGAATTGTGTTTAACCTATAGATCAATTTAGGGAGAATTGACATTTTTACTACATTGATTCTTCCAATCCACAAACATGGTATATTTCTTAAACTTTAAAAATGTATTTCTTTCATCAGCATTTTTATAATACAATTTCTCAATATTAGGTTTTGTTAAAATTTATACCTAAGTTTTTTTTTTTTTGGAACAAATTTTAAGAGGAATTTGATTTGTGAGCTTGGTTTTCACTTATTCATTGTCAGTGTATAAAAATGCAATCGATTTTTCTGTATTGATTTTGTATTCTGTGAGTTTAGTAAAGTCACTTATTAGTTCTAGGGGCTTTTCATAGAATTCTTAGGGTTTTCTATGTAGACAATCATGGCATCTGTAAACAGAGATAGTTTTATTTCTTCCTTTCCGATCTTTACTTTGATTTTTACTTTTTTTTTTCTTGCCTTGTTAAAGTGGCAAGAATGTCCAATCCTATGTTAATAAGGTTGATGAGAGCAGGCAATACTTGCTTTGTTCTCCATTTTAGAGGGAAAGCATTTAGTCTTTCACTATTAAGTATGAAGCTAACTGTAGGATTTTTGTAGATGTTATTTATGAGGTTGAAAAGGTTCCCAAATATATAAAACCTATTTTTTTGTTTGTTTGTTTGTTTGTTTTTTGAGACAAGGTTTTACTCTGTTACCCAGGCTGGAGTGCAGTAGTGAGATCATGGCTTGCTGCAGTCTCAGCCTCCCCTGACTCAAGTGATCCTCCCATCTCAGCCTCCAAAGTATCTGGAACTACAGGCAGATGCCACCATGCCTGGCTAATTTTTTTTATATTTTGTAAGGGTTTCACCATATGAAACACTTACAAAATATAAAAAAGTGCTGAGATTACAGTTGTGAGCCAGTGTGCCATGGCTGAGAATTTTTATTATGAATGGGTATTGAATTTTGTTGAATGCTTTCTCTGCATCAATTGATATAATAATAAAATTTTTCTTCTTTGTTCTGTTGATATGCAGATTACACTGATTCATAATTATGTACTGAGCTAGCCTTGTATATCCCAAATGAATTTCAGTTAGTTATGGTATATATCTTTTTGTGCATTGTTAGATTCAATTTGCTAAAATTTTGTTGAGGATTTTTGTTTCTAGGCCTTTGGGAGATGTTGGACTGTGGTAGTTGTTTTAATTTTTCGCTTGTGCTATTATTTTCTAGTTTTAGTATTAAGATAATAATGGCCTAATAAAAATCAATTGGTAAGTGTTCCTTCTATTTTTTGGTAGACATTGTATAAAATTGGTGGTAACTCTTCTTTGCATGTTTGATAAAATTCTGCAATGAAAGAAAATGAGCCTGGATTTTTTTTCTGGGACTTTTAAATTACAATACCAATTTCTTAAATAGTTGTAGGACTATTCAGCTTATCTGTTTCATCATGGCTGAGTTTTGGTAGAATGTGGTTTTCAGGAGTTGGTCCCTTTCTTCCAAGTTGTCACATTTATGAGAGTAAAATTGTTCATAGTGTTTCCTGCCTATCTAAATGGCTGCATAATCTGTTGTGACATCCTTTTTTGTTATTTTTTTACCTGATATTGATAATTTGTGTCTTCTGTTGTCAAATTTGTCAATTTTGCTTGAGGTTTGTCAACTTTATTGACTTTTTTCTTTTGAAGAACCAGCTTTATTTTCCTATTTTCAATTTTATTGCTTTCTGCTTTTATTTTTACTGTTTCCTTTGGGATTTATTCTTATATCAACCTACCAGCAGTTTTATGTCCCTTCCTCTTAAAATTTTTATTCTTTACCTTTTATATTAGTTTACATTATAGCATAAATTTTATGTTAATTTAATTTTATAAATTTTATGAATTTTGGAAGGCTTCTATAATCCCTTTTTTGGTATAAACAAGGATAAAAACAGTTTATATTTTGTTTTTCCCTCATATGGTATTAATAGGACATATTGTGAATATGCTTATCTGTTTCACTGTGTGAAGCAAAAAGCATTACTTCATTATTGTAGAGTGTACCCCTCTAGCTCAAAGAGTTTCCTTGTTATTATTTTAATACCGAGGCTTACATTTGTACTCCTGAAGAAGTAGCTCCCATATTTTGTG